TGTTTCCTTATACACCGAATTGTATGGCATCGACTGCCGGTGCGAAAAGCAAAACCAAATTCAATGTTTGGCATAAAATCATATTAGATATTGATTTTAATAAATATAATGACAGTGTGTTTCACGTTAATTGAATTATGCATTCATTTCGATAATAATTTTCGTATTAAAAATAAATGAATGAATCGTTGAGTAAATCAAATAATGAACTCATGTTTTATTAACAAACATAAGTTTAGGGAATGAAATCCGTTTTCAATTCTTTTACTAATCATTTGATTCTTCAAATCAATTATAGATATTTGACTCGAAATGCCATTTAATTGGATTAATTTCCTGTCGATTCTTGTGTCGATTATTCATACATTTGTTCAATTTTTTAAATATTATTTTATGCTATTAAATATAATGTCAGAATTTTGGGGTTCATTAGTTATGGTGAAAGTGTATTTTGATACAGGCAAATCTATTAACTGGCCCGTTCGTTAAGTGTTAACAAACATAAGTTTAGGCAATGAAATCCGTTTTCAATTCTTTTACTAATCATTTGATTCTTCAAATCAATTATAGATATTTGACTCGAAATGCCATTTAATTGGATTAATTTCCTGTCGATTCTTGTGTCGATTATTCATACATTTATATTATATTCTGTTATCAATTCATAATATTCACTGAATATAATTCACTCTCTTTTTAGTGAATGGAGAATTGGATGAGTAATACAAAGTTATACTGAATATTGCATTGAATTGTATTGAGGAGTAGTGTATAGTCGGGTGCGTTGAGCGTCGGGTGACATAAATCTAAAGTCTATCAAATGGAAAGTTTCAAACATTTATAATGTACTGCAAAAACAATTTACAGAACAATTCCATCAGTCTCTCTCTCTCTCTCTCTTCTTGATTCAAAATTGAATTGAAAACTGCATTCAATCTAAAAGTAAATTCAAAGCATAAATATTTTTTGTTTGAATGAAAGTGCAAATTATGCGCACATCTCATCACATTCTCTCTCTCTCTCTCTCTTCTTGATTCAAAATTGAATTGAAAACTGCATTCAATCTAAAAGTAAATTTAAAGCATAAATATTTTTTGTTTGAATGAACGTGCAAATTATGCGCACATCTCATCACAATTGTATTATTCACTAATGATATTCAAAATATATACATATAGCGGAGAGAGAGAGAGAGAGAGAGAGAGATGCGACTCACGCAAATTTAAGTTCATATAAAATTCATTGAAACTATAGTGAAGTGGTTTCCAGAAATCTAATCTCACGTATTGTATAACTCGACTCTAAAAACACAACTCATACACCACTCTATCCACGAGTGCCGAGAGTTTTAAAGAATAATATTTTCTTCTTTTCATTTCGTTTTTTATACAGTTTTGTAGCAAAACTTCTCAGAAAATATAAAAACTGTTCATTCATTTCCACTCTTTCTTATTGTGTACTGAATTTTATAAGAGAGTCCACAAAAAAAGTATTGAATTGTGTTCAAGAGTGGTCTCAACGGACATTGAGAGCCATTAGTTTTAGCACCTCTTGTATGGCATTCTTCTAGTTTTACACAACAATAGTCTTATTTCAGTATTAAATCAGTTAGCATTCAATTTGGCCTAAAATGTCTCTCCCATTGCTTAATAGACCGAAAAATGATTACTTTCTTAGATTCCAAGTTTGACACTAAATATTGGATCATATTTTGCCTCATTTCTGACAAATACAACACTCAATGTATTCCCGGATTTCGATCGAAACCATCGAAAACATGAGATGAGAGAAAACGACACAATTTCTCCTTCTTTGCCGTCGACTCACGGAATGAATATATAATACAAGCGCTAAACAAAACGCCCTTTCGTTGCACTGTATGTGGGATAAGGATTATTCAAGTATTATATAATATACAGCGCTATACGTAATACAATGTCGGGAGACATCAAAATATAATAGATTTATAAAAGAAAAAATTGTGACTTTTATCAGAAAAAGCATCTCATTTTGAATGCCAATCAAAATGGTTTGGCAACACTTCGGATCATTTCCTATGACGGGGGGTGTCGTGTCGTGTGGGCTCCGGGAGTGAAGCGAAAGCCCCGACGGACAGAGTCTGGGCAACGAGAGGAGCAAAAAAGGCAACATATCATTGAACTCATGGAAAGGGCGAAAGTAATGTTTGATTGACGAGTCACACGAATCACACGAATCGCGATTTTCATAATCAAAACGAATAGAGCACTGAATGGAGAGCACAGGAGAGCACTGGTAGGCAATTAGTTGACGCCCAACGCTATGCAGTTAATCACAGACAGGCACTACTCTATTGATATGTTTGGCTCAATTCTCAGTATTGGTTTGACAGTAAGGGTAACAACAGTTCCATAATTAGGTATACGTTCAGAGATTGCAAATTTAGTTGAGTGTGAAATACATCTCAATAATTAGTGACTGATATAAACATTAAAAAATATATATAATTACAAAATTATAGTGCATTTCGCACAACAAACTCTATTTATATTCATATCTAGAATATTCATTGTATGCAAAATATATATCAAAATAATAAAACAATCGGTGATTAGGAAAAGATATACCACAAGACATTTGAATAAAAACAATAGTCAAACCATCAGATAATTGCTTATTATAATTCAAATAATAGCAAAAAAAAATTCAATTTCATTGTATAAAATTTTTAACAGTTTTAAAAACCCAATTAAAAAATGCAATAATAATAACAATAAGAAGTGGAAGTAATAAAAAGTAATAGAATTCGGCAAATATTGACTTTTGGTAATAAAAAAGTAGTCATTATTTGGCACAACATTTAAGTCCTTTTCGCAGAAAAAACACAAGAAGTTTTCGCTCTTTAATCGCATCAATCATTTCAAATCATATCTGTCTTTGAAATTAAATTTTATTAACGAAAAGACAAGCGAAACAAAATTGAATTCCATTTCTCCAGATATTAAACAAAAAATTTCTTTATTAAATATTTTGTTCCGATTTTTTTCATTAGTTTTTCATTTTTCATAAGAGAAAACAAACATAAGAGAGAAAAAGCACATAATTTTTAGAATTTAATTAAAACAACACATGATTTCTGTCTCAAAAGTATAATTAATAAAATATAGTTTAATTACAATTAATTTATCTGTTTTATCAGACATTCATCGAAATTAAGACTTAAATACAAATCAAAAGTTAAGGAAAGAATTGGACCATTAAAAGAAGCGGAGGAATAGTCGCGAGAGAGAGAGAGAGAGAGAGTGGTGTTTGTGTGTGAGATGAGGCAAAAAGCCATTAGCTTTAATACCCGATGGGATTTCAATAGCAACGACAAAATGAGACTTTTGAGACAACAAACACTCCAATTAATCAATGGATAAAAATAAAAAACAAAAACTAAATATTAACTCAATTTATACATCAATTGGTTGTTTAAAAAAATACTAAAAGACGTTATTATATGACATAATATTTGATGAGACAATTTGTTTTAGTTTGTGATTATAAACGCTATTTCGCCTCCAAATGAGTCAAATGTTTTCTACATAATGTCGTCAATTCAGGCATAGAGTCGTCCACCACTTCTTCCAACACGTAATTCACAAATTTTGACCTAAAGTTATGTCAAAATATTAATTAGTATAATATAATCGCATGGAAACATGTGCCCAAAGTGTAACTAGGCATTCCGTATATACCATTTTAACTAAATTATATAATTAATTGTAAATATAAAATGACCAAAAATTTTTATATAAATTCTAAGAGACTAATTAAAATAAAATATTATAGAACTGTGTGCATGCAATTCTATAGGCTATAATTCTCATATTGAATAATTTAACGTCTAGAGATTTGTAAATGTCAACAGAATTTCAAATTAGTCTGGTTAGTTAAAAATATAAATGTTTAAAATTATTTAAATCTATTACGGTAATTCACTTCAAAATTCTGATTCTAAAAATGTCAAAACCCATGTTTACTCATCACTAATCAGTGACTTTCATATAAATAATAAACTGGAGTCTGTGGTAACAAAAATTGGACTTTTCACTGGCTGTATATATAGAACAAGAATATTAATAAATTTAAAGCATATTTAATGAATTCATTTACTAATTGATTCTCAAATACATTAGAGATAGAGTGAAAACAAAGCGAATTTCAATCAATTATTACAAAAATGTATTCAATTCCTCAAATTGTGTTAAATTTATAGTAAAATAAAACAATGGGTTTCACTATAATTATGCGTTAATCACAATAAAAAACACTTTTATATCCATTAGCGTTGCGCTTATCTAATGATTTCTTTTCTAATTAAAGCTATGAATGCAATCATTTGTACGCAATATTGTGTATATAAACACAATATACATACAAATGCCTGCGCTATACCTGATATGGCTATTCCTATCGCTTAATACCAATGATTTCTAATTAAGATATATTGAAATCGCTATACATTTTGTCTGTTTTTGGCGGACATTCAATAAAAATAAGTGTCATTTCGCGATGTATTTAGACATTAATGAAAAATTATTGCAAACTATCGCTCAAGTGATCCATAAATGTAATGAAAAACCAAAAAACACAAACCATTTTGATTTGTTTTCCTCTTTGATTTGCAAAGTTTCGCTTTGCTTTATAAACGATTCGATGATTGCCTTTCCATACTAACCGTACAAACAATCATTCATTAATACAAATGCAATTCATTTAATTACATAATATAATAGTAATGCAATTCTAACCTCCGATTTGATGAGAATAGAAATGTTATTAATGTTGGAAACAATTTTAAGAATCACGTCATGATTATTGATATCTCGAATGGCGTTCACTAACATCACACCGAAATCGACTCTAGTTTTCGATTTCAAAATATACTGTTTATAATTGTTTGCGTACAAGAGATCACTGATGATCACTGCTCTCTGATTCTCGTCCGACAGATAACATAGCGATCGGAACACGAGAAGCAAACCCTTCTTGATTTGAATCACATCTGAATTGATTTTGTCGTTCGTCTCATTCGTGAGCCCTTTAAACAGTTTGTCAGACAATTGATTTCTGGTCTCGATGTGCGGTATTTGGGCGTCCGGTGGGAGAGCGCCGATACGCTTGTCCTCGTCGTCAATGTTTATGAGTACGACATATAGTTTCTCGATATGAAGTAATAGTTTCCTAAACTTTTGTACTTCGCTTTTAGTGACGACTACTTTGCTATCACCGGTGGTCTCATTGGCGGCGACAGTGGTTTTGTTAATATTGCAGTCCAATAGCTTTCGGGGACAGTTCACGTTCGACACCTGGATCTTGCCTAACGTGCCCTCAAACTGTTCGGGAATATACTTCGCTGTCTCCGACTCCGTCGCCGGTTTCGGCCGTTCGGGCAATAGTAGCGACGGTTTTGTCTTTTCGTTATTATTGGCCGCTTTGGCCGCGATTTTACGTGAAATGTATGTCACGTAATAGTAGTCGTCGACATACGGGTCCTTGAGTTCGGTCTGGAATTGTTGTATTTTAATGAGCCATTCCTTCTCGCGTTGTGTCATAAGACCCGAGTACTCGTCTTCGTTGTCGTAATTCTCGTGGTATCGGTTCTGATGGCGCTGTTGTGAGTTGTTGTTGTGATACATGGGATGCCTCTGGTATTGGAGTTGCATTGGATTCAGCAATGGATGCATAATAGGGCGCGACTGAAGTGGGAATGGGATTATGCGCTGAGAATTAGGTATGAGTGCCGGCGAGAACATAGTGCGACCCATTGCCGGATGCATTCCCGGCATTAAGTGCATTACCGGCGGTCTATTATACATATTGTTCATACGATTCTGGACTAACATATGGGGTCTCATTTGGTTTAATTGTTGATTCATTGGTCGGTTAGGACTTTGAATATTAGGCGACGGATTTGGACGCATCATAGGAACCGGTGGTTCAGATTTCGGTGTATTCGGTGCCGTTTGCCGTTTCGGCGGTGAACTCTGGCCCGACATGAGCTGCCTTTCAATGTCATCCAATGTCTGTGCTTTGAGTAATGGATTGACCGATTCGTTAGTCTCTTGAGATGAGCTTAAGGCCAACCGCGCGGCCGAATGGATGGCATTCATATCGATACTGTTGTGCCGATTCGGCGACTCATTAGTTAATAAATTATGTTCTATTGTCTCCACATTTGGCATCATTTCTGAACCAATTCTGCCGTTTTGTATAAAGCTTTGCATTGAATTGGCGGCAA